AAGTCTGAAGGTTAGCGCTAATCCACCTTAACAACAAGAACTCAAGCTTTTGAAAAGTGTTTTTGCAACAAGACAAATACTCAAGCGTGATATTTCTGTTTTTCTTTTGGATGTTTCATAACAACGACTTCTTGACTGTGACACCTGTGTTTAATGAGCCACTCGTGTGTTTAGGGATGAGCGTTTGTTGCTCATGAACTTTTACAGATTTTGTGTCCTCTGAGTCTGGAGTTATATAATACTATGAAATAAATTATAATTAACATATATTTTTAAAAAAGTCATCTAATGGTAAAATATAACTTCCTTTCTGTTGTTTTTTAAGACCTTTTTCCTCAGAATAACTGGTGAAGAACAGATTAATCAGACTTACGTAAACGTGAGAACAAACTGTTGGCTCACCTTAAAGGACAAAACTGTGTTTGCAAAACGTTTCTTTGGAAAGTTAGGGAAGGCAAAAATAATAACAATAATGATGAAATGTGTTAGCAATAATGTTTGACATGTTAATATTTGTATTTTTAAACATCTGCTTTCTTGTGTGTTTTTAAAAATAAAGAGAAAAACGAAGGAAGGGAAGGTTTTAATAGGATAATATGTTAGTTTCTTGGCGAGTGTTTGATGTGTTAGTGTTGTTGAAACGTCCTAATTAATAATTAATGACAGAAAAATAGTTCATAATGTTAATGTTCACTAATAATAAACATGTAAAATTTAGTTTTCTTTACTCACTATTCAGATTTTATTATTTTCCCACATTCCACTTCCGCCCCACTCTGATTGTATCATGCTTCCTAGTCGGGCTGGGCAATGCAACCATTCCATCGTAGACACGATAAAAACTCTGGGTAACACTTTAGTTCAGGGAACACAAATTAACCATTAATTAGCTGCCAATTAATATGCATATTAGTCCACTAAGTCTGAATTAGTCATTATTAAGCTATTATTAGGTGCTTGTTACCAATGTTGTAATTCTAATATTAACAGGCCATAAATTAGGAGTTTTATCAAAATAAGCCACTCATAATGGTGTGTTGCTGATTAATGCACATGTTAATTAGCTCTAATCAATATGTAGCTTTTAAAGAAGTAATTTAAGGGCAACATATTCTTGCCTTAAGTGGTTAATTAATACTAAACTACTAGTAATTAGATATGAACAAAATCTAACTTTAGAATGGGGAACGTGTTCTTGCTTACAAGTGGTTAATTGTCGTTTAGGCTCTAATAACGTGGAGTTTGGTGTTTATTTACATAATACCACAACATAATATTTTTGGTTATTAACTGTTCCCCTTGAATTACTTCTTTAAAAGCCACATATTGGTTAGAGCTAATTAGCATGTGCGTTAATCAGCAACAAACCATTTACTTTCAATTTACAAACCATTATGAATGGTTTATGTTGATAAAACTCTTAGTTTATGACCTATTAATGTTAGAATTACAGCATTGGTAACACACACCTAATACTAGGACCAATAATGACTATTTCAGACTTAGTAGTCCACTAATAAGCATATTAATTGGCAGCTAATTATTGGTTAATTTGTGTTCCCTAAACTAAAGTGTTTCCAAACTTTGTTATAAAGAACACATGAACAGCCAGTCATGTTAAGTGTTGCTCTGCTCAGGACCAATAAGTGGCTGGAATAGAGCCACACGGTAGCTGCCTAACATGCTAACGGCTAATGCTTATGTAGCTGTAGCCTCTTGCTGCTAAAAAAAAAGAAAAAAAAGAGAGCACCCTGAAAAGGAAAGAAAAAGATGTAAAAGCAGCAGATGTCATCGTTGACAACAAAGGACCAAACGGCTCAGTTGTGTGGACGTAGTGTGTTCACGACGCAACTGGTGCACTAATGGTGCACCAGTGAGTGCAGGTTTTTACAAAATCAGGAAAACCACTGATCTGTTCCTGAACCAGCTCCACATTCAGCAGCAGCAGGATGTAAACCTTTATAAACCCTAATCCTCCTTGTTTTTGCTGTTTTTGTCTCTTTATACTTTTTTATTGCTCATTCTTAAAAGGAACTCCAGCTATGAGGATGTGTGTGCCCTAATAAACCACAAGTTTTCTGTTGTACCAAACTATGTTGTTAGAAACACACAAAATATTGCTGTTTATTTATAAATCTATAATATTACATTTTTGACATACGTAGGACGCCATGTTTTCCACACGCAATGCACTCTGGAGGCGATGAAGTATATTGGTTGCACTTGGAAGAATAGCTATTGACGCTAGTGTTTGTTTACACGCTCACTGTATTAATAATGAAGTAAAATGCCACATTGTGCTGCTTTTGGATGTCATTTCCAGTGAGAGGGCAACAAGGGGAGTGATGTGAGTTTACACAACTTTCTCACTGGCAAGAAGAGGAGAAGGCAGAGGGAAGATGCCTGTGGACGGACACAACTTCCCAAAGATTCGCGGCTGTGCTCCCGACATTTTTCTCCTGATGCGTTTGAGGCTCATAGTCGACCACAACGACTTAAAGAGCTCACCAGAGCGGCTGAGTATAAGAGAAGGCTGAAACTAAATGCTTTAGCGACCATTTTCCCACACAAGGAATCGTCCTCGAAGAGACAAGAGACGCTGGACGCTGTCCTGAGCCGACAACCCGTTCCTGCAGCTGCCGCTTCTGTCACGTTCAGAAAAACCATCGGACACGCCACTCGCCACAGATGAAGCTGAACGTTCACCTCTCCCATCAGTAAAACAAGCAGTAAGCGTAGCAACACGTGTTCTCCACATAAATAATATCTGCAACAATGATTAAAGTCGTTTAACTGAATATCCTAATCATCTATAAAGCACACGACAGCTCTGGATGCTAAAATTCTCCTAAATCATTCATAATTGAATAAGTTTCATCACACAATAGCTTACCGTTAAAGAGCAAGTCACCCCCAAATCAACTTTTTTTTTCTGATAAACTATATAAATGCGTGCCTAATCGTGCTTCAGACACGTGTAGGGATGGGTACCTTTGACATTTGAATCGATTCGGTACTAATTCCCGGTACCTAGGAATCGATACCGGTACTTAAACATTTTATTTACCTACCGGAGCAGATGAGGATATCTCACTTAGATCGTTGTCGCTGGTTTCATCATGACCCAGTTACCCATCACATTTAGTGAAGTGGACCCAAGCTTTAGCGTGCGTTCTTTCTACCATGCTGCTCTGTTTACAACTGGCTCGCAGCGACCGAGGACGTAACGCTGTTGCGCATGCGCAGCTGTCTAGGCCACCTTTCTCAGTGGCCTAGTGGTAGAGTTTCTGCCCTTAGACTGGGAGATCAGGGGTTCGATTCCTGGTCGGGTCATACCAAAGACTTTGAAAAAATGGGACCCAATGCCTCCCTGCTTGACACTAAGCATTAAGGGGTTGGATTGGGGGGTTAAACCACCAAATAGTTCCCGAGCGCGGCTGTGTCTGCAGCTCACCTCCTCCCAGGGGATGGGTCAAATGCAGAGAACAAATTTCGCACACACACCTGTGTGTGCGACAACTAATGGGACTTTAACTTTAAGTTCTTGTTATGAAGGACGGGTACCGAAACGAGGCACCGTTTCAAAAGACGTGGATCGGTATTTTTGTTAAAATTGTAATTTTCTGCCTAAAACTGTCACTGTTGTGCCGTTGTCAGGTAAAACTTCTGCACTGCATTTGAATTTAAATCTGACATTGCTATTGGCTAAGAGGTACCCTAGAACATTAGCTGGTACCATATGATGTCACAATGCCATTGTGAGCCTGTGTGTGTGTGTGTGTGTGTGTGTGTGTGTGTGTGTGTGTATTTGTTAGTGGCGCCGCCCTCTCAGTCTGCTAGGCAACAGCATTTGCTGCATTTTTCAAACAGGAAGTGGGAGTGAAGTAATACTCAGGTAGGGGGTGACTTGCTCTTTAACTTCTGCTGACAAAAATGGGAGCTCTTGACAATAAACACTCTCCCTCTCGGTTACCATGGAGATGCATTTGCTGCACACGCACCACCGGTTTTGTCCTGCTCTCGCTTCATCCCGCCCTTCTTGCTCTTCCTGTTGACGCTCGTTTTGTGAAACATGGTCAGTGATGTCATCATTAATGTTTCACTCTGGTTCAAACTGAAAAGGCTGAACAGATGACATGTTGATGTCGCTGAACAGTCACTACAGGGTCCCAAAGCCGGCCGGTGCAACCGAGGCACAACCATGTGACGTCACTACCCAGAGTGCAGTGAGCCGCAAACAACAATGGCGACCGAGAATTTTTTTACAAATGTTATAAAAATGAAGACATTAAGAAGGTTTTTTACATCACTTTAATATAACTGATACTAACATTTATCTTTTAAGAACCACTAAGTTTTGGGTTCCTTTTAAAGAAACTGTATTTAAAACAAGCCGAGAAATGATGATAATTTATATTCAAGACCTGTTTTATTAATTTGACACCAGAATTTCTCCATTTTCACCTGTTGTCCTGTACAGCTTAAAGATTTTAGTTTAAAATAAACCTTCACTACTCCATCATCTGCCAGCTCTGGGTGTGTTTGAATCTTTTAAACCTGACAGCAAGTAGATTTACATTTTAAATGGAGACTTTGACTAGTTACAAGAGGACATCCTCCCACTCACCACAACACAGGGACATGAAAGCCAAAGATAAAATAAGACACAGAAACACATAGATACCATAATAAAAGCTCCTGTAACAAATAGTCCCACTAAGCTGATTTAAAAACCATTAGAACAGAAAGTGAACTTTACATATTTATGTTGTGGGTGAGACGTTTAGCTCCAAGCAGCAGAAACCCACTCACATTCATACTGAATCCTTCACTCCTCGGGTGAAACAACAGGCTTTTATTCTGTAGAGTCAGAAGCTGTTAGTGAAGTCTTTAGGTCTAAAAGCTTCAGGCCGTAAAGGCGTCCAGGACAGAACCGGAACCAGCTCTGAGTTTAACCTCGTCTAACATTCATCAAGATCATCTCCTCAGCATGTACTCACTTTTGATCAACATGATTCAGTCGGTTTCCATCAGTTCACACCAGAAGGAAGAAGTCATAAATCCACGGGGGTGATGGAGCTCTGAAGTCCAGCGGTGTTGCTCATGTTGGAGAAACCCCCACCCAACCACTCCCCTTCCTCTGGACCGGACCGGACCGGACCATCTGAGCACCACGGTGGGGGAAGAAATCCTAAATATAACCACAAGCTCTTCAGTGAGGAGACTGGGATCACTCTGAAGGCGAGATGAGGACGGAGTGGGTGGATTTAGAAGATAAATGCAACCCCCCCAATCAGAGGAAAGATGGATGCCGGAGAAAGCCGGCACCGAAGTGACCAAAGGCAGGGAAGAAGTTGTTCATTTTTATATTTCCTCCTTAAATTAGGAAGTCAATAGTTCAACACAATAAAATGAACGACATGAACTCTGGAGAAGAGCTGACGGACCATCTGAGGAGATGGAGTCGGACCTAAGGTCCTGCTATTGTAGGTGTCTGATTATGGGTTCTGTGAGGAGAGCAGTCCGAAGGATTCACCACATTATTCCACAAGTGAAGCATGTAAACAACTCATCTACTCCACTCAGCCGGCACCCTGACAGGGAAACAGGAGTGGAGATGAAAGAGTTAAACGTGAAGGAAGAAAACATCTCACAAATCTGTAAAAGAAGGCTTTCAAGAGAGAAGAAGCACATCTGGAGCAGATGTTCTGAGCAACAAGATCAACTTAAATCACTTCTACCTACTATTTTCTTCAGATTATCCATAATTCATGGAAATATTTAGAATGTCCTCATCTGAACCCAGAGCTGCTCGCAGCAGCAGACATCTGAATAAATCTGATTCAGTCACTTTCACCATTTCCAGCATCACATTAGTGATGATTTAAAAACACACAGCACTCAGCATGAATGAGTACACCCCATTACATTTGTCAGAAAACCTTTAGTTTCCTTTCAGAATCAACATTTTCTATGTGGTACCGTACTACACCATACCGTACTACATCATACCATACTACACCACACCATACTACACCATACCGTACTACACCATACCATACTACACCACACCATACTACACCATACCGTACTACACCATACCGTACTACATCATACCATACTACACCACACCATAATACACCATACCGTACTACATCATACCATACTACACCACAGCATACAACACCACACCATACTACACCACACCATACTACACCATACCGTACTACACCACACCATACTACACCACATCATACTACACCATACCGTACTATATCATACCGTACTACAGCACATCATACTACACCGTACAATTCTACACCATACCGTACTGCAGCACATCATACTACACCACACCATACTACACCATACCGTACTACATCATACCATACTACACCATACCGTACTACACCACACCGTACTACAGCACACCATACTACACCGTACCATACTACACCATACCGTACTACATCATACCATCCTACACCACACCATACAACACCACACCATACTACACCATACCGTACTACACAACACCATACTACACCATACCGTACTATATCATACCATACTACACCATACCGTACTACAGCACACCATACTACACCATACCGTACTACATCATACCATCCTACACCACACCATACAACACCACACCATACTACACCACACCATACTACACCATACCGTACTACACCACACCATACTACACCATACCGTACTATATCATACCATACTACGCCATACCGTACTACTCCACACCATACTACACCGTACCATACTACACCATACCGTACTATATCATACCATACTACACCGTACAATTCTACACCATACCATACTACAGCACACCATACTACACTGTACAATTCTACACCATACCATACTACATCATACCATACTACACCATACCATACTACACCATTCCATACTGCACCACACCGTACTACAGCACACCATACCTTACTACACCATACCATACTATAAAATACTCCCACAAATGTGGGCTATTGTCTACGAACAAGGCTTGTTAATTTTCACACACAAAAAAAGTGATTTTCCTTACAAATCTATTCAAGCCCATGTTGCAAAAAGGAGTACATCCCAATTATATTATTAAGAAAAAAGACACACTACAAAATTCTAATTAACAGGCATTCAACCACAGGTGAGTCTCAGAAGAAGCAGGTATGGTGCTGTTTCTCAGTGAACCAGGCTGTTACTGCAGTTCAAGTTAACATTAAAAACATTTGTCTGACATACTAAAGTTAGCTAATTCTGCTTTTTGGGCAGAAATTAGCAGTACATGAATGTAATCCTAGAGTATTATTTCTGTTTTGTTGTGAAAACCGTAACCTAGACCCCAATAACTTCTACCCCGGTCTCTGGATAATCAGGTTTTGAAGGCTGCTTGTTGAAAATCTCATTCAGCAGCAGCTTCACATGACTAAAAATAAAAATATTGGATTCAAGTTATGAGAAGATAGAAAATTGTTTTGGAGAACTTTTTCCTCAGGTCATAATGTAATAAGGAGGCAGCAGCTAACAGAGCTGCTGAGGACAGAGACAAAGACATAAAAAAGGAAATTTAAAAGTATTGTTTCAAAGACTGCAGATTTAAATAAATGCAACTTTAATTAAAAAGCCTTCAAAAGAGTCGTGGCTATGATGAAAGAAATCCAAATCAAAGACCTGACGAGGAAACCAGAAACCTCAGTTGATCTTTTGGAGGACGGATTTGGGAATCAGGTTGTTGGAGGTAAAATCCCATTTTCTGTCTGTCAAATTCTTTTATCTTTGGTATTTTTCAAGAAATAGAAACTATTTTTCTCTTTGTGACAGTCTGCTGGTAATAAAGAAAATAAAGGTCCAGTTGGGAAAGTGTCCCGTGTCGACACGGATCTGGTTCATCCTTGAGTTCAAAGGTCAGGAGCAAGGACAGAGGGAGTGAAAAAGCAACAAAGACCCACAGCAATCCTGTTCATGGTTAGATCTGCTTACAAACAACCACCAGCAGCCAATAAGCTCCAACCCCAGCCCAACTTCCTTCAGGCAGAAGGCTGAGGGTTGGTCCTGGAGGCCCCTGGCATGTGTTTATGTGCTCCAACACACCTGATTCAATGGCTGATTCACCTGTTCAGCGGCAGAAGACCATTAGTCGCTCAGTAATTAAAATCACGAGTTCTGGATCAGAAACCTGTAAAACATGCAGGACAGTGGCCCTGGAGGGCCAGGACAAGCTCCTTGGACAGCAGCTTCACTGCAGCCAGATCATCACTCCATCGTTTGAGTCCTTTTGGTTCCAGAGTGAAAAATAATCCAGGTGTTAACGACAAATACTATTCTGTACTGATGATCTTCTGCTGTTGGTTTGACTCACGGCCTTTGTCCATTGTGTCTTCGGCACCATCGCTGCAGATAGTCTGGAATATACCTGTTCTTAGGCTGACCTTTGACCTTTGATTTGAGGTGTTTGATAATCACTTTAGGTCACGATTGATTTACGCTGGACCGAGTCACCTTTTACTTTCTACCGTGTCTCCAGCATGCTGGACCTGAATAGTAAAATCTTTCAGAACATTTGGACGGTGAACAAGAGGAGTATGTTGTACCGATGATTCCCTGCCGACTTTAACATGTAACTGGTTTGGCTCTTGGTGGTAAAACCCTTCCCTTAAAGTCAAACATCCTTTAGGTTGTTGGTTCTAAATAAACATGGTGACCAGTCCAGTTCTGTGGACCCAAACTCTCACCAAAGCCTTTGTTGTCCAGCTGCTACGACGTTGGCTCGAGCCGAGGAAACACAAAGCTTCTGTCGACTCTGCTGTCTGCAAGGTAACAGAAAGCTGCATTTCCTCTTCCCAAACTAGAGCCTTCCAGGCTTTGGGAGAGGAAGGATCCAACAATGCTCCCAGCAGATGGGAGTTGTTCTTCACGTGTGGAATGTGAGCATACGTGTCGAGTGTTTTGGTGTTTGTCTGAGGCAGACACGGTTAGTGAGGATTTGTTTACTCTCCGTGGCTGCTTGTGTGTGAGCTACGAGGCGTGCACACACGTGTGCGTGCGTGCATGCATGTGTGTGTGTGTGTGTGTGTGTATGTGTGTGTGTGTGTGGTCTGAGATGAATCAACCCTCAGGGCTTCAGTTCTGGAATTTCCGATGCAGCAGGAGAGGAAACAGAGTCGGGGTTTTATAACCTTCCCGCCTAGATTAGATACTGTAAATAAATCCTGACTTTTCTTTGCTTCCAGATAATCTGGATCACATTTAATATCTTAACCTTGACCCAAGATGTCCTGATGGCTTTCGGAGTTTGACTTCACACTTCCTGTTTCATTTGTCATCTCCAGAATCTCTCCTTCATACCTTTATGGTTTATTTTGGTTTCTGTGGGTCTGGAAAACATCATCTTAACTGACTTTAAACCACAAGCAGTCCGAGCTTTGTTTTGTCTAAAGTAATGAACAGTTGTTGTTTTTCAAAAACTGCTGAAGGTCGAATGAAGACATGATCAGATGAGAACTTTTTGGGTTATCTAGTAACACGCTCCACATGGAAGGACCAAATGGAAGATCTGGCCTCGGTGAAAGCTGAGTTAGCTTAGTTATGAAGTTTGGGATTAAGATGTTTGTACTGCTGGTTCTGCCATGAAAAGTCTTTTATATTTCTGCATTTTTCAACAACAACAACAACAACAACAACAAGATAATGTGCCTTTGTCCTTCAGAGTTATTCCTCTAAACAAAAATGTACACGCCTTTACTTCCTCTTTACCTGGAACAACGTTTTTCTAACAAAAACGAATCGATAAACATCTTGGAGTCGATTTTTCACTGTTTACCTGTGGAGCTTCTGTCACGAGTTGGGATCGTAACTACTAGTGACCCACCTACAGGTGACAATACGGTATAGGTATGCAAATGTAACCTAATAAATAAACAAAATACTTGCTTTCCACGAAAACATCAAACATTCCAAAAGAATAATACGTTAATGTGTTTTACTGATGTGACGCCTCTTTTACATGGTGGGCCCAGTTGGACCTTCATGTTTAAAACTCCCATCATTAAAATACAACCGCTTGTTTGACCGACTTTTAACTAACTTCACCATCAAGACCGTCATTTCACATCTCATCCCCTCAAAGAAAACATGTCTTTGTCCCAAGGTGTGAGTGAGTGAGTGAGTGAGTGAGTGAGTGAGTGAGTGAGTGAGTGAGTGAGTGGTTTGTCTCTGTGTGCCCCTGTGAGGGACTGGA